TTTCCGTAGTCCTGAGTATATTGGTCTGATAGACAGTCTAAGAGCCAATTGCTCGAAATTCCCAGACTTAAAGGTTGTGGACGGTTTAGTATATAGGCGCTCAGAACACGCAACAGGTGAACCGCTCCACGACGTGTACATTTGGAAGCTTTGGGTACCCGTTCAGCTGGTAGGCGAGGTTTTGAAGAACGCGCATGATCATCCACTTGCATCTCACGCGGAGTTCACAAGACTCTATAGCGAATTAGACGCTATTATTATTGGCCCGGTTTGGTGGGAGATGTGAAGGCGTATATTGGCGGGTGTGAATCTTGTAAGACCACTAAGGCACCCAACAGTCCTCTTCGACCTCCAATGGGTAAAGCGCCAGAGTCGGAAAGATTCTTTCAGCGGATCTATATCGATTTTCTGGGTCCGTATCCGCGTTCAAAGAGCGGGAATGTTGCTATTTTTATAGTCTGGGACCACTTTGCGAAATTTGTATTCGTTAAGGCCGTGAAGAAGCTGGAAGCAACGGTCGTAATAAAATATTTAAAAGAAGAATTGTTTCATCTTTGCGGAGTCCCGGAGACAATTATATCTGACAACGGCTCACAATTTAGATCGGAACAGTTTCAGAAGCTTTTGAGGGAGCATAGAATTTCTCACAAGCTGACTGCCATTCATTCGCCCAAAGCAAATGCGTCAGAACGCGTTAACCGATCCATAATTACTGCAATACGTTCTTATGTAGACGTCAGTCAAAGAGACTGGGACGCAAACTTAAGCAGCATTTGTTGTGCTTTAAGGTCAGCTACACATTCGGCTATTGGTACGTCACCCTACTATATGGTATTTGGCCAGCATATGGTAACGTCAGGTGGGACATATGCCTTGCTAAGATCACTTGAAGTATTGCAGGATAGAGGGATATCTTTTACTAGAGAGGATTCACTGAAATTGGCTCGAGGTAAGGCAAAGAAACTTTCACAACAACAGGATAGCAAAAACAGAGAACGTCATAACCTGAGATCGCGAGAAGTGAACTTTTCTAATGGCCAAGAAATATTTCGCCGTAACTTTAAGCAAAGCTGCTTTCAAACCGGCTACAATGCAAAGTTAGGACCAGCATTTTCGTAAACGTAGAGTCTTCCACGAATCCCAGCTCTAGCCCCGGCGGGAGGCCATTGCTAGACGCTCCATGCTTTCTTTTCGAAACCATACCTTGACCTGAAAGGTTGCATCAATAGAGAGGTCCTAAGCTGCCATAAAAGGAATAGAGTCCCGATCCGTGTCCCATTTTGTGACGAGGCTTATTATTGTGGAACAGTGGACAGTGGAAGCGTTTTGGCCAGATTCTAGCCCAATTACATAGTTTTTCCCCAGACCCCTAAGGGTAAGTTCGGTTGAGGTGCAGAGCAAAGCAAGTGAATATGCTCTCACACAAACATTTTTTTTTGTTCTTATCTCAGGTAGGGAACGGCGCCTTCAAATAATCTTCAAATAATCTCTGCCGTGGAGACAAAAGCGAGCAGTGCAAAATTGATCCCCTCTCCAAGCTCAGTTTATCTTTGGCGCGGCAAACTAAGGAGTTTTAAGTTTCCCAAGAAAACCCCGATCGTGGTCGGGAAATCGAAGGTTTTTTTATTTTATTTATTTTAAAGTGTCGCAACCAAAGAAATAATGAAATAATGAAGATATAATGAAAAAACCTTCCCTTTACAGTTATCAGCAAATAATAATGTAGTTTTAAAAACCTCGAGAAGTTGAGAAAAATAAAAAAAAAAATTAATCTTTAAATGTTAAATATTCTCTTAAAAAAAAAATCTCTAAAATAATGAATTATGTATAAATGAGTAAATAATTAAAATTTTTATAAGAAAAAAACTTAACGGTAAAGAAGATGTAAAGAAAGAAACAAAAAAAAAATATGCATAAGAAATTGTAAAAATAATTTATCAGTAAAGAATTCTTTAAAATCATGTAAAAGAGGATTTAAAAAAAAAAAAAAGAAGTTAAAGTTTTTGTGTGTGCAAAATTTTGGTTTTTTTGTTCAATTCTTTTTACATTTGATTAACAGAATTTACAGCATCACCGCCAACGAATGGAAGCGCTTTCATCATTGGACTAATTAGGGTGAGCCATGTTCAACCATTTAATTTAAATTTTCGGCATTTTTATTTCAATTTTTTTATGCTACCGAAATTTATGCTACACGATCACATGAATAATTAAAAACAGTTAGCCTCCCACAAAAAAAAAAATGTAGAATTATTAATTAGAAAAAACAAAAATATTGAATTAAATTGAAGTAAAAACAAAAACAAAGTTAAATAATGAATTAAAGTAAATTAAATATGAAAAGAAAAACAAAATTACCTATTAAACACTTATACCTATTTTTTTATTTTTTTTAAATTAACTCCCAAGTTTTATTAAAATACACTTTTATTTTAGAATATTTTATGAGCAGTTTAAATGTATATCCTATCTTTACTTTTATTATATAAGTAAACCCATATTATAATGTCTGAGTAAATAACCCTGTTTAACTCCATGCTGACCCAAGAGCCGTCGTAGGTTCAACATATTAAAAGGGGCCTAATGCGTGATTTTATCGGAAGAGCATTGGCCATGGTAGGGTGGGCTAATAACACCCCCGTTTACATCTAGGGGCGTGGTATGTCTAGCGAGAAGTTCTATTTCCTTTTTCTCATCCGTCTGTCCGATTTTCATGTTATCTCTTTTCCGGCCGATTTTGAATCGTTACCAATTCGCACGCGATAAATTTTAATTATTAAAGATACAAGTGAGCACCCGTAATCTGTGTCCTCTAAAGAACACCACGACATTTGCCGACGAGATATAGCCGGAATTCAACGCGTGCGGGACAAACAGTTTGCAAGACCACCAGCTCAACGTTGTTCGTTACATAAATAAATTTTAATATTATGTATTGTTTTATATATTTCGTCCCATTTCATTATCTAATGAAAAATTTGCTAGACTCTTGAAACCATTTTTTGATTTTGTTTTATTTAATTTTTTTTATTTTTACTATACATAAAATAAGATTTTTTTGGATACATATACATTTATATTCAATATATCACTAAATGGATGTACATATTGTCTTAAGAGGGTTTTTTGTTTTTCGTATTAGAACATCATTTTATAATTATTGTGGGCGTTTTTTTTATATTTTATATTTTGTCCAGATCATTAGCTATTCATGGCTCCCTTTGGTACACATTTATTATGAAATATATATGTATGCATTTTACAAGATAAATGCGCACATAATTAAGACAATGATTGATAATAAGATTTTCGTTAATTCTGTATTTATTGTTTTGGACTCTATTTTATTTATAACATTTGCAGTGGAGTCCACTTCACCCTTGCAGAGGGTATTATAATTTTGTCCAAAAGTGCACACTTTTATACTATACACACTATACGCAGTAAAGGAGACATCTCCGACCCTATATAGTATATATATTCTTTATCAGGATCACCTCCTGAGTTGATATGAGCATGTCCGTCTGTCCGTTGGTCTGTCTGTCTGTTTCTACGCGAACTAGTCTCTCAGTTTTAAAGATATCGACTTGAAACTTTGCACACACCCTTCTTTCCTTTGCACGCAGTATATAAGTCGGAACGCCCGGTATCGACAGACTATATCCTATAGCTGCCATATAACTGATTATTCGGAAATGGTATAACTTTGGTGTTTTTAGAGTTAGAGAGTTAAAATTTGACATGAGAGTTATTTTTGAGAGCAAAAAATTACGACATGCCAAATTTCATAAGGATCGGCCGACTATATCCTATAGCTGCCATATAACTGATTGATCGGAAATGGTGTAACTTCGGTGTTTTTTGTGTTAGAGAGTTCAAATTTTACATGAGCGCTATTTTTGGCAAAAAATTTTTTTTAGATTTTGTATTGTAATAATTTGGATTATATATTCAAATTCCCATAAGAATCGGCCAACTATATCCGATGTTTGCGATACATATCCGGTTTTAACTGCAAGAGTATATAAACTTCGGCTCCGCCCAAAGTTAGCTTTCCTTTCTTGTTTTAAAATAAAACCTAGTTTTATATAGTTTTTAGGCCACCCTTTAATGTCGCTCAATTAACAATTAATTTTCTATACTACAAAAAAATATGCATCGCAGTGCTATATAAAAAAAATTATGCAACGCAGTGCATGGATAAAAAAAAAAAAGTGCGCTCTAGGAAGCGCTGTTGGTCCCCTTTTTCTCTGGTCCCTTTCCGGTGCTGACTTCACAGGTGCACTTGCAACAATGGTTTGTTTGTTATCAGGTAGTTATCCGGTCCTCTCGGTAGTTGTTTGGAGGTTAAAACTTTAATTATTCGTTGCTCATAGGTTATTGGTATGGGGTTGATGGTCCGAATTTTTTGCAGTTTTTTTTTTATATCCTTCTGGGTTATATTCTCCTCGGTGTGTTCTCGTCCTTCGTCATGGTCGTCATGAATCTTTGAATGAATTTCGGCCACTTACGTTTATAACCGGGACCTCGAATTATGTAAGCACTGCGAAAAGGGTTACAGTGTGTGCCCCTCTTAGTACTCTTGGTACAGTGGGTGCTCAATATATATATATATATATATGTATATATATGTATGTGCATATTACATGTGCATGCACCATAAGTTGGTCTATCTGCTGATCATCCGGCTCCATCTGCATGCAGAAATTAACATTGTTATAACGTTTAAAATAAAACACAATTTGCCTTTATTATTACGGCATTGAAAAATCTCAATGACCAAACATAGGATAAGACCAAACAATAGGATAAGAAACCATCATTTTAAACTGCCACATTAATAGACTACTATTCATTCTATTAGATTCAAAATTCCACTTCATCTAAGCTACCTACTGCTATCTACAACATCGCATGTAAAAAAACGTGGTGGGAGTGATACAAGCTGTGGGTATCGTTTAGTCGGAAATGTCGACTACAGCCATTCTTTCTTATTATAGAATCAATTTTGGATGAAATGAACGATGGAGGTTTGGACTCAAGCTTAATTAAGAGGGAGAGTGTTGGAGCTGCCTACGATTGCAACACATATCAACTTAATTCTGAAACTTCAATGCCCGTTCAAGGTGTAGTCCAACTGGGATCAGTAGTGACCAACCCTATTAGTTATGGTAAGAATTCATATAATTTAAGCATTATTGAAAATAATTTATTTATTGTTAACTTAATTTTTTAGATCAGAGGAGTATGCTTATGCCCCAAAGCATAGATACAAATGCCAACGCAAGTGACCCCAATGAGATCGATAGAACTCATTCTCCAACAGTTGCAAATGCTTCATCAGACAATGGCCCCAATAGTTTTTCAATGCTTCAAAGGGCGGCAGATGGTAACAGCTTTTCCGAAGAGCCAAAAACATCACAATCAGTGATTTCTCTTCATCGCTATTCATCTCTGAATAATAGGTTCATACCCCAAGGTAAAGACAAATAAAAATAGTAAATGATTATTTATTTTATAGTTCTCTTTTAAGCTGCTCAACAACATAATCCATCTTCTATGCATTCATCACCGGCCAGTGCAATATATTATCCACAACAAAGTAATCAACGACCACAAATTACAACATTAGCTGAAGATCAAAATCGAGTTAATGAGCCCCACGATATTTCTGAATTTGTCACATATGTGTGTCAAGATTCTAATCACAATACTATTACGGGTTCAGTTGGTAATCATACATTTCAACATGGACCCGCATCACATTTTCAAATTCATCAACAGCTTCGTAGTGCGAAATTAGCATCTTCACCGTCAACTCATTACCATAGTACAATGCTACCGCCTATGCTGCCACCCATGGCGCGACCTGTAGCTATAATTCGAAGCAGCGGAGATTTGACTTTAGTGCAAACACCTTCTCCTGCCCTAAATTCTGCAAACAGTTCTCCCAACGTGACGAGCAACATATCAAACTTAGCTAAAAGTATCTCGGATTCGGAAAACAACAGATCTCTAGATACAATAGAGACTAATAATAGACCAATTAATACAGAAACTGTTTCACAAAACGTTCACAGTTCTGAAAACGAATTAGTAGGTGCCACGTCCCCTCCACCGCATGGGAATGCTCCAACTCCCCCAAGTCCACATGGTTATAGTGACTCTGGGCGGTGCAAGTTGTCATCGGCTGGTTTAAGCTCAGTAAGCAAAATAACCGCACAAATGTATTCTTCCTCAACTAATAGAGAATATTTTAATCATTTTCATTCACAAGCTTCCCCGGTAAGTTTATTAGGCATAATCTATTATAATAACAAGAAAGGAAAGCTAACTTCGGGCGGAGCCGAAGTTGATATACCCTTGCAGTTAAAACCGGGTATATATCGCAAACATCGGATATAGTTGGCCGATCCTTATGAAATTTGGTAGGTTGGATCAACTGACCAAAAATATAATCTGTACCAAGTTCCAGCTTTCTTCAAAAACACAAAAGTTGGGTCATTTCCGATCGTTCAGTTATATGGCAGCTATAGGATATAGTCGGCCGATCCTTATGAAAATTTGAAGTCTCTAACTCTAAAACCACCAAAGTTATACCATTTCCGATCTATCAGTTATATGGCAGCTATAGGATATAGTCGGCCGATCCGGGCCGTTCCGACTTATATACTGCGTGCAAAGGAAAGAAGGGTGTGTGCAAAGTTTCAAGACGATAGCTTTAAAACTGAGAGACTAGTTTGCGTAGAAACAGACAAACGGACAGACGGACATGCTCATATCAACTCAGGAGGTGATCCTGATCAAGAATATGTATACTTTATAGGGTCGGAGATGTCTCCTTCACTGCGTTGCACACTTTTGGACAAAATTATAATACCCTCTGCAAGGGTATAAAAATATCAAAAATAAAATTTTCGTTATAATTTCCTTTTAATAGACTTCATAAAAATTTGGGTGATCCACATTTAATAATAATAATCACGTTGTTTCAATACTTTGTCTTCATTTCATATTAGAAACAAGACTTTAAATAGAAGTGAAGAAGTAGAAGGAGTAGAGAGAAACAGTGCTTAGTGAAAGAGTTCACTGTGTTTTTCTCCGTCACTGCTCTCCGGAGGTCCAGGCTCCCACGTCCCACCTTTTCTTTATGAGTTTTAATTTCAATCCTTCCTTGTTTAGCGACATCTCTGGCGTAGTCCTGGGTCTTGTGGTGCCTTCTCCGGAGTCCTGGAAATGGGAAATTAATGACAGTCATCCTTGTTGCAGCTGGGCTGTGTCGTCGGTGGAAACTATTGCCATTTATGCTTTCGGAACCCTCTAACATGGTTTACTTTTCTTATTTAATCCTCCCTCCACTTGATTTTTTTTGTTAAATATTTTTCTCTCTGGATAAAATCATTACATCATTACAAAGGATAAAATCTCTTCCCTAAAATTATTTTTGTTTGCGTATGCTTATGCTTATTTTAATCTTTTTATTATTGTTTGGTCATTTATAATTTTCAATTCCAGTAAAATAGAAAGACGAATTATATTAAATTAAATGTAATCAGAGCTTGTAAATAACTGTCAACCGTTTTTTTTCTTGCGCTCTCGTTGCGAGCAGAACCGAAAAAGTTCATACTCTCTCGCTCTCGCTCTGAGCAAGAGACTTTTGCTGTCCTTAATTCTATTTTCTGTTGAGCGCTTTTCGTTGAGCCTTTTTATTTCGGTCGTTTAATGAGCAGTGCGTGAAGAGCGGAACGAGAAACGCTCGCACAAAGAGAGTCAGCAAAAGACCGATTGACCGAAAAACTCAATCCAAACGGTCTTTTCATTTACTTTCGTTGTTGTTGCTTTCGTAATTATTATGTTTTTACTGCAAAAGGAATGCAAAAAAAGTTTCAGACAATGTTGTTTTTAGATTTTTATTTTTTTATTTTATATCTTATATTCATATTTTTTGTAAAATTTTTTATATTTATGTGTTAAGCTTAACAACTAGTAAGGAGTTTAAATTTTCTGCGCTAATCGAACTTCTTTGTTCACTTAAAATAAAATGTAGGGCTGAGAATGCCCGTTCGACGGAGACTTGCATTGCAGGTGTAGCCAGCACAACCTGCGCTAGTGCACTTATATGCGGCATCCTAAGTTTCAAATCATTGAAAAAATCCAATATGTTGCAATTTAATGGCAAGCGACCAAATGTTACGTCGAAGTTTTCAATGTCAGCATAAATTTTGGATAGTTTTGTAGAAACTGGATCTTCTTTGTTTTCCGAAACTGTCTGAAAATCGTCCAAAAATGCCGAGAACAGGGACTTCTCTTCAGATGAGGATGCGGTTGAAATTGACGAGGCAGTGGAAGCAAACATCTCTTCATGCACAGGAGTTTCGAGCGCTGCAACATTTCGTGTTTGTGCCTTAAATAATAAAGCGATAATAAGTATAAAATGTATTTTGGATTTTAGTTTAGTACAAGTATTAGTTTTTGACGAAGACAATTTTAATTAGAGTCTCAAACCTACAACATAAACAAAACAGGACCCACATTTCAAACATTCTACGACATACGGCTTACTTCTTTCAACTCATGTAAACGAAAAGCAGTTTTTTTTAATTAGCCTTTGCTAAGGATTTTTGATTGGTCGACAACATACAATTTACACGAGGATCCATGTAAATCGCTGCCAACAATGCATCATTTTCTAATAATTTGGTTTCCCTTATTTTGATTTGTGCCGATAGTTTTTTTTAAATTAAATTGTAGCTATTATCGCATTTCAATTTGAGTTCCATCCATACTACGAAGAACTCACTATAAACTAAATCTTTGTTTTGTAGCTTTAGGGTTGCCTGGTATGTGTCACTGAAAGCGTCAATGTACGTCTCGATCCAATCCCAATCGGCCTCTACACAAATATTTGGCCGCGTTGCCAGGAAATCCTTTAAGTCCAATAGTTTATTTAGCATTAAATACGTCGAATTCCACCTTGTAGCAACGTCGAGCGATGGTATGTTTTTTTCATTCTCAACTAAAATACGTCTGCATAGATTTTATAAATATGAAGTATTTATAATATATAAAATTTATATATTTATATATAATTATATATACATATACATATATATATATATTTATTTATTATTTTCCCCGATTCATCCCGATTGGAATATAAATTTATATATTTGTACTTCTATAACTTATAACTTACCTATATGTTTCTGTGCGCAGCGATTTGCATAATGTGCGACAGGCACTTATTCTATCGGCGATCTCCTTTGTTTTGTTTACATCTGTGTAGGGGGGCGTGGTTCCGCAAAAAGATTCCAGAAAAATCAGAAGTCGGGGGAAAGAACGCGTTCAGCTTTATTGGCTGCGTACATCAAATTGATCTTAAAAACTAGTGAAAAAAAAGAGATCGCCGACAGCCAACGAGCGAGAAGAGAGGGCACAGAGGGGCGAGTGTGCACGCGCTATTTAGCGCGGGTGCGCTCTTCAGCGCGGATGCGCTCTTCAGGTGAGTGGCTCATGGCCCCTCACCTAAACATTCCGCCCCCCTTGCAATCGCTCGGGTTGCAATATCTCCCTCGGTGTTATGGCTGGTGGCAGGCTCCGGACACGACCCATCCAAACACGGTGCTCTGGGCCACTGGCAGTCCGTCCTGGATCTTCAGGAAGCCCGGTTGAATAATCCGTGGGTACATATCTGCGCCCAGGACGACGGAGATTGTCGCTGGCAGATGGAATCGCTCATCCGCCAGGGTCACGCCTCGGAAGTGGGCACGCACCGCCTCGCTCAGCTCCCGAGACGGCGTACGAACTCGCACGTGAGGCTCGATCTTGAACATGACCTCCAGCCAAACGCTATCATCGGTCGTTGACCCCACGGTGGCGGAACACACCTGTTCGTCCCCCACGCTGGTAGTGGGCAGTCGGAAACACGCTGCGAGCGAGGCGTCGATGCAGCTCGAGGGCGTGCATGGGTCGATAAGGGCCCCCGTATCGAAGCTCCGGGTCCCGGTGTCGATCCGCACTAGTGCAGTCGGCAGCACGTTGACGCTGTTCCGTTGCAGCAGCGATGAGAGGGTAGGCGCAGCGACCGCGTCCAGCGGGGGCCCTCGACGAGAGGCGGAACTTTGCCTAGGTGCGGATGACGCGGGCGGATGAGCGGTGGTTGGCAACCGAGGAGTGGCGGAAGAAGGCCGAGGATGTAACGACGAGTGCCGGGACGTCGGTGGCCGTGGATCGGGTTGGGGTTGCCGGAAAGTGGCGGACCCAGGCCGAGGAGCACCCGAACCGCGCCGGGAGTTGGCGGATGACGGCCGGGCGCCAGACGAGACACTCTGTGTCCTGACTCCCGCGCTCCGTGACCGGTGCTCCTTTTGGCGTGCCTTGCGCCGAGCCCGCGGCTTCTCCACGAGATGCAGCAGCGGGTGGTGATCCTGTCCACACGTCTTACAACCGTCACCCCGACGACAGGATCCGTCGGAGTGCTCGTGGGCCAGGCAGCTCGAGCAATACCGGTTCACAAGAACCGCTCGGAGCCGCTTCTCGGCGCTAAGGCGTAGGAAGCGCCGACACTTCTTTAAGGCGTGGATTCCATTGCAGACTCGGCAACGGTAGGATTGAATACCACGAGTACATCTGCTCTCCAGCGGTGCGTGGGTGTTGCGTGGACGTGGCGACATCGTGTTGGCTATGGCTGACGGAAATATGATAAAGGAACAAATAACATGATCAGAATCGGTGTAAATGAAGGTTCGGAACTACGGGCAGAGCTACGGGACAGCACAATGGACAGGAACATTGGAGCGGAAGAAATGTTGATTACTGTGGGTAGGCGGACGCGTCTAACGGAAGAAGCACGACCTTAACAACGGGCCGCTTTACAAGCCCTCGCGCGGTGCGGATGTCGATCACGCGGACATGGCCATCAGAGCCGGGATACACCGCGTCAACCCTGCCTAAACGCCACTCATTGGACGGAAGGTTGTCTTCCTTGACGACGACCATATCCCCAACGCGGAGGTCCCTCGTAGGGGCTCGCCACTTGTTTCTCTTATGGAGCTCCTTGAGATACTCCTCCTTCCACCGGAGCTGAAGTTGCTGCTGAAGCGCCTTGAGGTGTTGCCAACGATTGATGATGGAATTGGTGTCCCCCTTTATCTCGGGCTCGACCGTGGCGAGAAGTGGTCCTCCCACAAGAAAGTGCCCGGGTGTAAGAGCTAGCAGGTCAGCAGGGTCTTCGGACATTGGCGCGAGTGGCCGCGAATTCAGGCACGCCTCGATCTTCGCCAGGA